GGAATGCTGACGGCAAACGAGAAAGTATTATAATGTTTGCCTTTAATAATATTAAAGCAATCGTATACAAAAAACATACTTTTTTGTATACATTTTAATTCCTTTGTTTAACAGTTCTATCTGATTATTAGATGGACTTCTATCCGTATTAGACAGAACTGAATGACAACAGCGAATAAGAGGGAGAATGTGAGCACGTGTGCTCAGGCGCTGCCACAGCCGTTCTCGGTGCCGTCAAAATAAAAGTCAGATGTGGCGTCAAAATAAAAGTCCCGCCTCGAACACATCGGCCAAACAGAAAAACGTATCGGCCGATGCCGATATTTGAAAAATGGCAGATATCGGCCGATATATCGGTCGACCACTAGTACTTGCACAGGTTGTGGTTCGGAGAGCTTGTTAGTCCAAATTAAGAAGATTAGAAGCCAACGAAGGTAAAAGCCAAGCTTAGAGAAGCTTTCCTTGGTAAAATGACAGGCACACAACAAAAGATTCAAATTGTATTTCTGTGGTATCCTTGAACAGCGTCTTCTCAACATGATGTAAACACACTAACTAGCAGAAAGGATAGCTACGTTATAAACTGCAAAAGAGATATTTTTCAAAAACCCATATGACCTGCTCTTTAAAGTATTATACAGGGACTGTATGGCCACATTCTCTACTACACCTTTAAAGTAAGTGACTAAAGTACAGCACTAAGACACACAGTTTAAGCCTGTAGCAACAGTCTGGTATGTGGGACAGGGATCGCTGTGGGAGGAAGGAGGGAGGTGTGAATAAAGAAGACTGTCTGGATGGAGGGATGAAAGACTGGCGTCGCTCTTTAGGGACAAAGAAGATGGACATGAAAAGACCGAGCTCTTGTATATACAAGTTGGCGATGTTAAAGCCAACATGGAAAAACCATGAACCCATGTAATTAATTGTTACATGTTCCTGGTCATATTTTGAATGATTTTTTAAGCATGTAATGAAAAAAGATGAATACACAAACCTTTTACGTAATACACGGCCTGAGTGCATGTTTTTCCAAAGAAAATACTGTTTGTTTGTACTGTTTGTAATCTTTAATTAAAATGTAATAACTTGCTTCTCCTCTGAAATGGCTTTAATTTTCTGCTGACACCACTTAGGTTGTGCAGGCTGATTAGTTCATCAGTAGCCAAATAGCCATTTAGGCATTATTTTAACAAACTTGCATGTGTTCTGGCACCATTGTAGTATGTAACCCTTTTCACCTACCAATCAATTCTTGATGTATAATATCATGTTCAGTCCTACATTTTTCATTTTTATCTTATATATTTTATCATTATTTAATTTTTTTATTTATTGTTTATTGATTTTTTTTATTGATTTTTTTTTTTTATAATGTTATATTTTTTTATAATTTTTTGTATATAGTTAATTTGTAATCTTTTATACTATTTTTGTTTCAGTTAATCATTATTTTAACTTTATTTATTTTGTTTTTCTTGTTGAATAAAATTTGACAGGATGAGATATTTACTGGTTGTAAATGCTGTTTTCAGATTTCAGTGATTTCATAACATCACATCACTGAACCTCACTGATCAGATGAAACCTCCCTCAGTAACACTAACACACATACACAGCGTATCTGTTTCAGTTGCTGTACTGTCTCTCCTGACACCAGTTCCACTGACCTCACTTGGTCAGCAGTGCTTGACAGGAAACATAATTCAGAATTTTCAGGGACAAAGCTCTCAAATCATGGTTTAGAGTGAGGGTCATGATAATCTTGACACGGCTCTCGTGTTGAGTGATTTATTGTACCTCCGTACATGGTGTAATATGAAAATTTGGCCAGGTTTCACACAAAATGTCTCCCAGTGCACCAGTGGGCTGGACCTAGATAGTCTCAATTCATACTGTATGGTTTCTTTATGGTTGTGTGATTTAAAAAAAAAACCTTTTCACTTGAGGAAGAGACGATTATGATAGACGGAAACCGTTCTGTATAGAAAAGGTAATTGTGCAAGATCATTTGTTTAGGTGTGTTTAACAGCAATTGTTAGGTTATTTTGACTGGTTTTCTAGGTGTTAAGTTGCATGGGTTTGTGTCTGTTTGAGTGTTTGGGTTTAGCTGATCACCATCTTTCGTTATTTGCCCTTTAGGTCTTGTCAGCAACTTTAACTTCATGTCTGAGAGCACAGACTGTACTGTAAGTCAGGTTACTATGAGGAAGTGTGTGGTCAAGACTGTGGAATATAGGCCACTGAACATCACTGAAGCAGATTAAGTGGTGCCTGGTGAAATTTTATAATTCCTTCCTGTCGTTTACTAACCTAAATGATACGCCAGCTAAAAGCATCACTAAAAATAGCCGTTTTATGGTTTTCTTACAAGTTTCTTTCTCTGTTTTGTACTGTTGCAGTGATGATGAGGATGATGATGGTGATGAAGAGGAGACACAGCTGAGAGCTGAGTGTGTGTGGTTGTGTTGTGTTCACATTGGGAGCGGGAAGAACCCCCCTCCCCCACACACACTGCATCCATGTTCTCCCCCGACCAGGAAAACATCTCCACGTCGTCAACCAAAGTGCCAGTCAAATATGGAGAACTCACTGTGCTCGGGTAAGACCTTCTGGCCTTCGACCTTGGATCAGCAGGAAGCGGCATCTGTCGTACCGGAGTTAATAGTTTGTAATGCTCAGTGACAACTTTGCATGCGAGTGTATGTGTTTCTGAAAATAGAGTCAGTTGGCGTGAAGGTTTTGTATGTTTCTGTTGTTGTTGTTACACTGTGGGCAAAATGTAAGGGTGATGCATGTTTACGAGAACAACGGAGCCCTCAGTTAGAAAACAAAGTGGGTTTCAATGTGGTGTTGGGAGTATCATAATGCACTACATTGACTTTCATTTGCAGAACAGACTTCTATCATCACATGACCGCCTGGCGTCTAAAAGAGCTTTTTGTGTATTAACTTCTTTGATTAGATGTTCTCAGGGGTCATGGATTGGATTAGATTCTCATCTTGAAGCACATAGAGGACTCACCTCACCTCCATTATTGTGTTGGGTTACAGCTGATTTAAGTGTTGTGTTACTGCTAAACTGTGGTTTTAGCTACCTTGTGAAATAAAACCAAAATCGCAATCTGGCTTAGTGTGATTATCAAATTGCAAAAGTGTGATTTTAATTAAATATGTACTGTTCTAAATAATACATGTTTAAGAACAAACCCTGTTTTGCAGTGGTTCAGTTCGCAGTGAATGCAGCTCCATATGGAAATATGTACTGTTCTAAATAATACATGTTTAAGAACAAACCCTGTTTTGCAGTGGTTGCAGTGGTCCATACTCACATATGGACATCTCTGCATCTGCTCTGAGTTTGGTTCACTTTAACATGCATTCGGGAAAAGTTTAATTGTAAATAAAAGTTTGTTTTGCGTTTGAAAATGCAGCAATGAAGATGGCTTTAAATGTTAGTGTTGTAATTTTATGTAAAATTATCATCATATGTTTCAGTGAAATATCTCTACGTTTATTATTTAGTACATAGATAGATCTATATCTATCTATCTAATAATAATAACTAATAGTTCTTCATTAACAAAATTAAATTATTTATTATTATTTTAAAGCCTTTTTGATATATAATCACAACATTTCGGTCAAATTGTGCAGCCCTAAAACAAGCTCAGCAAACATATATATTTTTTTTAAATCACAATTTTTGTCAGAAAAATCTATCTATTCAAAATTGCTTTATTGGCATGACTGTAAATGATACAATATTGCCAAAGCTTAGTATACATGTACAAAAAAGATAAAAAAGAATACAATAATAATAATTAAAAGAACATCACAGTAATAGAATGGAATATTATAACATCTTAGAAGTATTAAACTGTAACAAATTATAACGTGTGAACATTTGATACCACAGTCTTAACTTACATAGAAACACACATACATAGGATCACTGTGGTGGACAGTAGGGTAACACACTGAGGTCAGACACAACACACATTCACCTGCTGTCTCTCTCTCTC